ATCTTGCAAGTCTATAGTCAGCTACTATGTGTTATGATCCGGCAACCCCGAAGTGACAATAATCGGGACCACTCCCGCTGATGACCGTAGTTTGAGGAGTTCATGTATTCACTATGTGTTAATGCTTTGGTCCGGTACTCTATTAAAAGAAGGCATTAATATCCCTTAGTTTCCGCTAGGACCCCGCTGCCACGGGAGGGTAGGACAAAAGATGTCATGCAAGTTATTTCCATAAGCACGTATGACTATATTCGGAATACATGCCTACATTACATTGATGAACTGGAGCTAGTTCTGTGTCACCCTAGGTTATGACTGTTACATGATGAACCACATCTGGCATAATTCTCTATCACCGATCCAATGCCTACGAGCTTTTCACATATTGTTCTTCGCTTATTTACTTTTCCGTTGCTATTGTTATCATCACTACAAAATACCAAAAATATTACTTTTGCTGCCGTTACATTTTGCTATCGTTACCACTACTATCATATTACTTTGCTACTAAACACTTGCTGCAGATATTAAGTTTTCAGGTGTGTTGAATTGACAACTCAGCTGCTAATACTTGAGAATATTCTTTGGCTCCCCTTGTGTCGAATTAATACATTTGGGTTGAATACTCTACCCTCGAAAACTGTTGCGATCCCCTATACTTGTGGGTTATCAGAGTACCAGGTGGCTGCTGTCACCCACAAGGTCAACCACCTACAGCTTCAAGTCCACCCCAACGGCACGGGACTACACCGGCTCTTCTCCAACGTGCCGCCATCACCACCATCTTCCATCGGCCCCGCTTGCCGATGCCCAGCTCCAAAGACAATGCCCTCGAGAGGGGATACGATGCCAAAGCACCGTCATCGTTGGTTGCTATGGATCTAGGGTTTTCCACGAAGCTGAAAAGGTTGGATTTAAGAGTATCACCTCGACGAGGCCAACAAGAAGTAGACGACGCTCAAGAGCGTCTTCATCACCGACTCCAGCTGTGGCAAGAGAGAAGTCTTTCATTCGGGTCAACCTCCTAAGCCCCACACACCATGCATGACCAAGCCCTCCAGCGAATCTTTACCAGATCCAGCCAGATCTAGCTTGCCGCCACCACCTACTCCTAAGTTCATGGCACATGCCACCTTCACATTGCTTGGCAGAGCCACAGACCTCTGAATGCCAGAACCAATAAGAACCGCGTCGATCGACGTGCAACATCGCATTTGGGCTCGCCACCTGTCGTGCTCCCCTCGACAACCCCCACCTCCTCACCAGAGGCCGCCTGCTCGGCGCACGACAAGCCGATGTCCACTTCTGCGATTAGGGTTGCTCCCGTGCGCTCTAGGTTTAGTGACACGAAAGAAGGGGGTTATGCACACTGTCCGCTTGGTTCCTAAGGGCGTCTCCCACGCCGACTCGCAAACCTCCCGCATGCTTTCGGACCGCGCTGTCCGGACAACGGAAGACATCCAGCGTGTGCCTATATCGGTCCGCGGCGTGGTCCGGATGCGATTTCTCCCACAAACCTGAGAAAAACGTGGGGGGGGGGGGCTTTGCGGGAGTCTGGAGCGCTCTCAAGCCCTCTTTTGACCACCCTGGCCCACCCAAACCACCACCGCCTTTCACGCACTTTCCATCCCACGCGTCGTGCCATATTCATGTCAGCCCAGAGCATGCAGCGGCCGACATTGATGCCGTGATTTGACCGGAAGGGAATGCGGCGCAAACGGGCGTGACCTCTCGGCCATCGCCGCCGCTTCAATGCAGACGCCATGTCCCGAGAAACCAACTCCGGTTGCTTCAATACTGAATTTTATCTTTACAACTTCAGGTCCTTCTACTATTGCAGATGAAGAAATGATGGGTTCAAAGAAAGAAGTTGTCATTAGTAAGGTACCAGCTTTTGCAATGATGCACTTCGTTAAATTATTTATTACATGTTTTTTTTATCAAATTTTCTTCTGTAATGAAAATGAAGTATCATTCAAATTGTGAATCTGTGGTGTACTTGTAAGATGCATAAGTGGTGTGGTATACTAGTATAGGCGCTATTTATAGCCGTTTAATTTTAGCCCTAGGCTTTACGAAATCATGGCTCCACCTTTGGCTGGTGAACAACCCGGGTTCAAAAATCAAAATGGGGGCAGGAGCGAATTCGGTCTAGGGAAGGGTAGTTCGTTGATTTTTGATGAGTTTAATTGTGGGGAAAGAACGGCCCATTTCTAAGACATGGAGTTTCTACCCGCGAACACTCCCACATAAACAGTAAAATGATTTTTTTAATAAAGAAACAAAAAATCTGAAATTTTTTGGCAAATTTTTTTGGCGAATTGTGTACATACAAACAAGATTTTGTGATGATTTTTTTTCCTAAATGCTCCCGGAAAAAAGTCGATACTCAAAAAGGTCGTTTCTTAAAGCATTTTTTAGCATTGCTTTTGTTTTTATGCCCAGAACATCAGGAATGTTTTTACGAATATTTGCACGCATGTAGACAATTCATCAATGCTTATTATCGAAAAAGTCTCTTTTCCCTTTTTAAATTTTACTGTTCATCATGGGTGCATTGAGCTAGCGAGCAAAACAACACTTTCGCGTTGATTGTTTTTGTCCTATTTTGGTGTTGTGCAATGAGGGCAATTTTGTCCATGGAATAAAAATTGACAAGGTAATTGGGGACTTTGATCATAGGTTGTAACCCAATGATGGTCGTGTCACAATTGATGGCCAAATAGGTCAAATTGGGAAGATTTTTTTTCTATATGGCCAAATAGGTAAGAATTTTTTTAAACAAAGCCAAATAATGAATTCTTTCATTAGCTTTTGCACGCCATTGATGGCTTGAAATAAGATTTAAGGTGTTCTTTCCTCTTTTGTTTAGCTTGAGATGTATACATTGTTAGCTTGAGAGAGAATCAAATTATTTGAAGGGATCAAAGAAACAAAACGCATAGATCACATAGACATTGTTAGCTCGAGAGAGAACCAAGTTATTTGAAGGGATCAAAGAAGCAAAATGCATTAACCACATAGACATTGTTAGCGGGAAAAAGAAGAGATCAAAACAACAAAACATAGAGGCCAACTGTCCAGGGCTTGAAATTCTGAATTTTTTTTTTAGAATTTGAAATTCTGAATTTTGTAACGTAAAGTACTGAAATTCGGCATTTGGGCCGAGTATTCGGGTTTGTCACCGGCCTAGGCTTGGGCTTGAGAAAAGAGTATTTTTCTACGCTTTGGACCGGGCTCGTCTTTCAAAGGTCAGACTTTTGCATGTCCAGCCCAGACACCCACCCCCTCTCCCCAGTCCCTACCCACACAAATGCTCCGAAATTGAGTCAATTATACTGGTGGTGCTAGAATTTGGTGCAAATGATCACTTTAGTGCTAGAACTTGTGGCATACATCGAAGTGGTGCAAAAACTTGGCTCGAACGTGCAAATACGGTGCAAATCTCATTTCTATACGCCGACAACACTAACGGGGCATGACAGTGTGGTGTAGGGCCCGTTGTCAGTGACCATATTGGGAAGACGGGTGTGTGGCGTGCTCTTTTTGCAAAAAAAAACATGAATTCTTATTTTTGGATTTTTCTCACATAAAGGCCCCTGTTAGGGTAACTGCATATGTGGCATCGGATGGTCCCACTTGTCAGCCAAACATCACAAATTTTATTAGTTTTTCAGAATAAATAATGGAAACCACGCATGACTCGAACAGGTGACGCTTGGGTCAAACGGAGTGCACGGCTAGCCAACCCAGCAGATCACAATTGATGTCATACAATGATACTAAGCCTTTTACATCCTGACCTAAAATAATGTAAAATAAGAAGAAGAAGAAGAAAATCACGAGGAACTAAAAAAAAGAATTGTAAATTTGAAAAGAAAAAGATACCGCCCTGGGATTTCGTACTAGCGACCTGACAATTACCACCAGCAGGACCTAGCAATACAACCATTAGCATTTCGTGCCTTAAACATGTTAGTTTTTTCCTTTTTATTTTTTAGCCTAAAAAATGTAAATTGTATGGTAAATACGTATTCATTTGCGAATCTGCGGTCTGAGGCACACTAGGCTAATTTTTTTCATACATATATTAAATTAATTTAGAAATACAAATATAATTTATAGAAAACACACCAAATTTATAAAAATGCATGAACACTTATAAAACAACATAATTTTTTTAATCTTGGACAATTATATATACAACATAATTATTTTATAAAAAAATTGTTTTTTAACTTATAGGATAATTTATTTAATCTTGGACAAGTTAGTTTGATATTTTAATTCTGATAAAAAATTATAAAATTATTTCATATTTTAATTTGATGAATTTTAAAATTAATAGGTGAACAGTTTTTGGTTTATATATTTATTTATATGTATATTATTTATAATTATGCATCAGCAACTGAACTCTGGGCGGGTGGGTAGCCGCGCACGTCGGTTAGACCGCGGTCACCGATACGAATCCCTCTGTGCCATATCTTTCATTCTAACAAAATTTGTGATGTTTCACTGACAAATGGGACCCATCAGATGCTACACACCTAACAGGTGCCTTTTCGTGAGAAAATAAAATAAAAATCCAAGGGTGTTTCTGCAAAAAGAGCATGCCACACGCCCAACCTTCACTATGCAGTCACTGACGGTGGGCCCAACGTATTTGCACGCTCAAGCCAAGTTTTTGCATCACTTTAATGTACCCTGCAAATTCTAGCACTAAAGTGACCGTTTGCGCCAAGTTTTAGCACCACCGGTGTAATTGACTCTCCGAAATTTTATCTAAGTCGATTTACTGAAGTCAGATTTTTCTTAACCAGATTGAGCTTACATATTACTGCATGCATACATTGTCGTACGAAATATGATCACAGTTTATTAGAAACAGAAAAACATCGTTTATTAGAAACAGAAAAACAGAGCAGACGTTGCAGTTTGCGGATGCCCCCAGCTGCCGTGCGCCAATTATTCAGCGACCGACGGATCGAGGGGTTAATTCAGGCGTCGGACCATGTGACGGTCTCCTCGCCGACGTTGGTGTCCAGCCCGAGCGCCTTCCACACTGCTTTGGAGGTGTCGACGATGCTGTTCTTGCAGCCGCGCCGGGAGTCGCACTCGTCCACCACCATGGCCTCCACGCTCCGCCCGGTGCCCGCGCTCGTGATGCGGATCATCCTAAAGCACCGGACCCCGCCCTGGTACCACCCCGTCGACAACGCTACCAGCATGTCGTCGTCGCTGTGGTACTTGCCATCGCACTCCGCCGGCCCGCCGCCGTCCTCGCCGGGCTCGAACCCGTTGACTGTCATCACCGCCGGCATGCCGGAGAGTTTCGACGTCGAGACGGCCGGCGACAAGCGGGCGACGGTGCCGGTTGATGCCTGCAGCACGACTAAAAGCATGGCCAGGGCTGCGAGCTTAGCGTACGCCATTGCTAAGCCTTGGTAAGCTCCTGATCGCTTAGGCTTGCGTGCGCTAGACTTGCTCGATCTTGGGGTGCTTATGGCGTTGGGTTCGAGCGGTTTATATAGACAACCATCGCTGTCTCGTGTGCACCGCTGTCTTTCTTGTATTGGTTCTTGTTCAGCAATGTGTCACTTAGCTTATTCCCATTATTTACCCACGACGGCGTGCTCGAAATGGGTTTAATTAACGGCTTGTTTTGGGGTCACTACTTCTGCTTGTGTACAAACGATGCGTTTGGATTTGATGGTGTTGCTAAGTGCTATTGAACTTATAATTGATGAAAGGGGTGCTAGACGCAACGGATGGCTCTACATCGGCTATGAATAATGCGAACTTATAAAGGATGAAAGGGGTGCTAGACGCAACGGATGACTCCACGTCGGCTATGAATAGTGCGAACTTATAATTGAACTTATAAAGGATGAAAGGGGTGTTAGACGCAACGGATGGCTCCACGTCGGCTATGAATAGTGCGAACTTATAAAGGATGAAAGGGGTGCTAGACGCAACGGATGACTTCACGTCGGTTATGAATAGTGCGGACTTATAAAAGATGAAAGGGATGCTAGACGCAACAAATGGCTTTACGTCGGCTATGAATAGTGCGGAGCGAAAAGAGCAGCGAGCGAGCGCGCGAGTAGCGAGAGAGAAAAAGCGAAGTGGGGCGAGCGAGCAGCGACAGAAAAGCAGACCTAACAGCGTGAGGGCAGCGACCTAGCCGGCGCCCTCGCAACCGCCTCCGCCTCCTCTCCTGCCGCCACCGCCGCCGCCGCCTCCACCACCTCCTCCTTCCCTGCCTCTCCTCCTCCCGCGTCTCCTCATCTCCTCCTTCTACTTCCGTGCTCAATAGGAGGAGCCGGGGTCGCTGCCCCCCGACCATGGTGACAGACGGCGACAACGGCGGTATGGTCCCCTTCTCTTCCCTTTCTCTCTCCTGCTCTTTCTCTGACCCCCATCTCCTCTCCTCGCCTCTCTAGGTCTAGGTTGGGTGGGTCATGGCCGACCAGCAGCAGGCAGTCCATGGCGGCGGCGGCCAGATTTGCGCCGGGACAGCTGCGACTCATCCTCAAGATTCGGTTTGGTTTGCTTGCTTTTCCCACTGCCTGCAGTCCTGCTTTTCATCCTCACGATTGAAGAGGAGCATGGATTGCTTTCCTCTTCAGTCTCTTCTTCTTCCCTCCCATTATTCCTTCAACGATGTTCCTCTTCGATTTGTTTGTGCAGCATCACTAACTCAACTCCATGCATATGCAGATGCAGGGGGAGGAGAGGACCGCTACTTTGATTCTCTGATTTTTTTGTGAGAATTAAGATGGATGGCTTCTCGTGTAGAACTCAGTTTACATATATTTTTTATTTTATAACTAGACCTATGCTTTTATCAGGTTTTCTTATGATGTGTTCATATTTTGTAGGAAGAGCATCTTCATATCAGGAAGAAAAATCATCGGTGGAAGCTACTGACCATGAGGATTTACATCAGTGACCTTCACTCGGGTTGTAAGTAGATATAATGCAGTAAGGACTTCTATTCTTGCGAGTCTGGTTAGATGCACTTGTGAATGGCTGCTAAGAAAAAAGGCCTCGGAGTGTAGAGAAGGTTTCTGAGATATGCATGCCAAATATCTTGCTACTTTGGCATTTTTGTAGGCAGATCTGTAGATATAAATAAAGTTGGTTCTAATGTGATACTCTCAATTTCTTCCGGTGTATGATATTATGAAGGTTGGGGAATTTATATTTACACGAGATAAATTATGATGTACTCATGTTTCTTGAACTGATGACCATTACTACATCAAGATGGCTGGTGAATAAAGCGTGTCATGTGTTTCATGATGTGTTACCATATATATACTATTTGCAGGAATTTTATATGTTGATTAGCATACTCTCACTCTAATGTATACATTGCATGAGCTCCCAACATCCATAACAATTTTTCTCATTCAACATATTTATATATTTATCTGCCTGATTATGCTCATTCAAGTGTTGTTGCCATTTAGGCCATTCCATTTTTTTCTTGCAGGCGTTGACAAACTGTGAAATTCTTTGTTGAGTTCCTTTCAAATGGGCACTGAAGTAGACAAGCCTAAGGCTGACCAAGTTACCTATGGTGGGGTATTCCTTTAGATCCTACTTGAGTTAGCACTAAAAAAATTATCTTACTCAATGTATTCATGTTTATATCAGTGCTTTTGAACGAAGTTAATTAAGTTTTGGTGTAACTAGGCTGAATTATATCAGATTTGTTTAACTGGATTTGCTTCTTCCCATCTCATGATATCTAATTACATGCCCGTTCAATGAAAAAAGATATCTAATGCCTTTTCAATTTGTTTCCCGTGTCAATGCAACTGAATGTGATATCCACATACTGAGGTTTTCCTTGTAAAGATTTCTATTAGTGTAGTGTATTTACTTCTTGTGCTGCTGGTTCTTCTATTCCGAGGACTTGTTCTATTATGGATACCTTATTTGATCATTCTTTGGCGAACTTAATACCGCCCAGTCAGATGTTTAAAGGGGGAGGAGTTTAAAGTTGAATATTGCCCTCAATTGGGGAATATGTGCTGCCCCCTTTGTGTGATGTGTGGAAATTTGCTGTGCTGACTTATTTCTTTTGTAATGCAGGCTCAAGGACGTGAGGCAATTACTGCCAAACTGGCCGCATATTTTCTCATGTAAGCTGGCAGCAACCGTGTCATTGCAGGCAGGATTCGTGCCCCTGCACCTCCAGGTTCCACTCCGTCACATGTCCCTTCCTCCCTCCTTTCCAATAGGTATGCCCATGTATGTTTAGCTGATGTGATCTGTTCTTGCGTCTTGCTCTCCTGTCAATGAGAACCTCATGGAGCTCTTCATCATGATTGATGCATGTCAGCGGGCCTCAGCGCGATCTATTACCGTTGTCATTCTCTACTTTGGATATGCTAGAGGAGACAGAAAGGTATGGCCAAATAGTTAAACTGGCTGATTGCTTTTGAAAGAAGTTAATTATGTTTTGGTGTAACCAGGCTTAATTATATCAGATTTGTTTAATTGGATTTGCTTCTTCCCATCTCATGATATTGTAATCAGATATTCAGTTTATTTTTCAGTCATGTAGTTGATTTAATCTATGCAGCAATTTTAGTATTCCTGTTTGAGTCTTGTATCATTTTGTTTTTCAGTCTAAAATCCTTGTTTAATTGGTCAGTCTGTGTTATAGTTACTCCTCTTTCTCAATATTTTGAACCTTTTAGTTATTTTCAGTTTGACCAACAATATGTTTTCTTCAGATTTTGGATCATCCATAGGTGGCCATGATAGCAGCTTCTCTGCTTTCATGGGTAACCTCCCTATCTTTCTGCCTCTTTTCGCGCGTGCGCGCGTTCGGATTTTGGTGTGAAAAACTAAAACCTACAGTTCAAAGCATTTTTGTGATTTCTGTAAGCTCACAATTGTAAACTAGGACCTACATAATTTTATTATTCAACCATTTTTAAGTGATTGTTGGTACATATCATCTTGGTTTTGAGTAGTGTTCAGTGTCATTTAAGTTATGTTCAGTGGGGAGAGATGACCTCAAACTGTTGTCATGATATGTCCTCATTTTATAGTTTTGCAGGTAGTGAGGGAGGATGGACACGAGAAGAGTGACACTGCCATCTTCACATATGAAGTTTCGTTATGATATATTTCATTCCATTTTATTTTTATCACACGCCTAGAAGCTTTGCTTTAGCTAAGATTTTTAGTTCCATTCATTAGTTCTGGACAGTTTGACAATGGCCAACCATCTATCATGCACAGGTGCAGGGTACAGTTTGACAATGCACAGGTGCAGGGTACAGTAGTCAGTGTTCGTATATTCAACATATGGTCCATCTTATGCATACAAGGTGCTATCTTGGCATGGATACAACCTGCAACCATATGCACATGAAGTGTGTATGTTCTAAGAGGAGCACAATTTCAGAAGAGTATTTTTTTATTTGAAGTGGTTTGATTTTCTATCGAGACTTTTATATCTAGCATCATTTTGGATCTTATGTAAAAAATATGATAATCATGTCCGTATGACTATCATCAATCCGTACTTACTTCCATATGTTTCCTTCTGTGTCTACATATTTTGATGCACACTCTTTCAATATTTGGCTTGCTCTCGGCCTTTGCGCCCTGGGCGCAACTGTTCATCTAGTAGCTGTAATACCCGAGTGAATGGCAACTGAGCAGGTCGCCCGTGGCGGAGTTGATAGTGAATGAGCCTCAGTATTATCCACTAGTAGTAGTAGTATTATTCAGTAGTACTCCGGGTAAACTGGAGTAGAATGCAACTTACGGAAGTTTAGGCATCTAAAAATTGGTTATAAATATGTGAGCATCTGTAGTATGTGGCTCAACCAGTAGCACTGTATCATCGCTGGCTACGCCAGTCCCTTTTCAGCTGTTAGCTAACAAATTTTCATTAATATATATGAAATCTACAAATTACAAGAACTGAAAGAAGTAAAAAAAAAAGATACCAATGCCGGCCCTAGGGAAATCCTTCTACCTTATAAAATCCGCTGAGGTGCAGATCAATCAAGACTCTAAAGTCTGTGTAGTATTTGCTTTTAATTCTGTGAAAAAGAGGTGCCTCCAAGTGGACCCTGTGGGATGTCCATTCTTGAAGATTTTGGATATCCAATGCAAAAGAGTTTGGAACAGTCACCATGGTGACAAGGATATTGTCTAGAAAAGAGATGCCTCTGTTTCTTGAAAGGGGCTGGCTAGGTGCCAGTCAGCCTGAAATTCCAAATTGAGTCAGTCGAATCAGTCTTTGCCCTTGATCTCTGATCTAACGGCCGCCAGCCATCTTCTTCCGCCTACCTTTTCATGAAAAGCGGATCACACACCGCATGTCTTCTTCCTCCCGACGCCTTCTTCCCCCAACCACCCCCATAGACCACCAACCGAACCGCCAGCCACCACCGCTCGCGGCACTCCAAGGCCAACCTCGCCGCCCCGCACCGCCCTTCCCTCAACCGCCGCCCACCATTGTCATGCCACCACCCTCGGCCATCCTTCTAGCCCTGGGGATGGCCTTTCTTCTGGCGAACTTGCACCACCCCCCACAACCCTGAGATAGTGGGATCTTCCGCCACCCTAAGATAAACCTAGAGGGCTTCTCTGGCGAGCTCCTTCCTTCCCTCCGGCGAGCTCCTTCCTGCCCTCCGGCTGCTCTTCCTTCACTCGAAAATCGACTAGCCCAAATTGCAAATTAGGGCGACTTACATCTAGCTATCGTGTTATTGAAAAGGAGATAGTGTCCCAGGAAGTTAGGGCAAAGGGGCAATTCCAAAATAGGTGAAGAACAGTTTCTTCTAATGGATCAAGACAAAGCTCATTACTCCTGTAAATGATTAATCAAAGTTAGTAATTTGTTGCAACCAGGTACATATTAACAAATGGCTTACCAATGTATCTACTTCGATATATTTATCTATTTTACAATATTTGGTCAGATGTTTTAGTTAATTATTGTAGAATTATTACTGCTGAGCTAAATGAGTATCCCAATGTTGTTAACTACTGAATGTTAACTAATGTATTAAGATAATCTCATTATCTATGACAACGTGAACTACTCACTTGATGCGATGAGAATCTATGCCATCTTGTCCCAAGATGGTTGGAATACATCATTCCTGCATATCATGGGAGCCATTCCGCTTTTATTGCTTCATCCAAGCATCTAAAAGTTTTCTAACTTATATTATCTCTGATCACCTTTGAACGTTTTCATCTTGTGTTGTTATCTTAAGTACAATCAAAAATCTACCGCTTGTTCTCATGTTTGCCTACTCTTTTGTTTTCTGTTATCAATATAATGTTTGTCATTTCAAACCTCTAAGCTTTCAGTACTACGAAAATGATTGCAAGTACTCTGGAATTAGTGGTGCATGCTGGAATGTACACGGCATAACTAATTTGCAAAAGTTACAATGCCAGTAAATATCTGCTAAAAATCAGCAATGGCAGAGACTCTATAGTAACGCGGCAACTATGCTTTGACACAATAACCTTTGAGATGGAAACAACAGGGGTAGGGGAACAAATGTACCCACTATTGCTTATTTACATGACAGTGCCACGCTTTGCTAGGACACACCACTAGCATGTCTTGGTTACATGTTGTTGCCTCTTCTAAAAAATTTCCAAATTTACGAATGGTGGCACCACATAGCTCGCAGCATAGGTCTTCTATGCAATGAATGCGCATTTAGATATCATGTTTATTAAGTGAGAGTATGT